AATATTTTCCTAAAAGGATTGTCGCGTAGCGTTGGAAAATTTCCAAGGTGGATTGCTTTCAAGAGTTATATTCCAAGATGTGAATTGCCGATCGTAGCAAAATTCTTATGACAGATTGTTACAAAGCATTGGCAACTTTTCCCAAAAATTGGTTTTGGCAAATTTTCCGAGATACGGATTGTCGCTTCATCGTGGCAACATTTCCAAGGATGGATTGTTACGAAGCATTGACAAATTTCCCTAAATCGGATTGTCATACATCATACAAGAGTTGTGTTGGCAACTATTCCCAAATAAAAGAGGATTGTCATCACAGCAAAAGCATGGACATAATGTTTCACAAGCAGCAAACCGTCGACGTACTGGCATAACGGAAGCAAAGTTCAAGCAAGCTTTAGAGATCGACAAGCGTTGGTCTTCGGAAATTTTTCTTCGGAATATTATCATCAAAGCTCTTTTGTTTAGAGACGCGTGGACATTTATTTCAAGCTCTTTTGCTCATAGACGCGTGGGCATCCTATTATCAAGCTCTTCCTTCAAAGACGCGTGGACATTTCTTTCAAGCTCTTTTGCTAAGAGACGCGTGGGCATCCTATTATCAAGCTCTTCGTTCAGAGACGCGTGGACACATCATTTAGAAGTTCATATTAAAAAAAAGCTCTTTGTTCAGAGACGAGTTAACATCGAAACAGCAAGGTGGCGTTCCCTAGATTGTGGTGAGTTGTCACAAACAACTGAAGGTGATTTCAAGCGAAGTTGTCTTCGATAGTATTCCCTTAGACGTGGAGTATTATCAAAGCAGAAGAGGATCGTTTCGAGCGAAGCAATCTTCAATATTGGAAGCAGTTACAAGCGTAGCATTTTTCAAGCGGGATGGCATTCTTTTGGCAGGAGGTCATCAAAACAACGGCAATGCAGCAACAAATCGGTTACCTTTAGAGACGTGTGCTCGGCGGTGCAAGATACGTGTTTCTTAACTCTTTTATCTGTTTAACTAACGCTAGTTTGCAGGTATCGGCATTACAAGAATGGTTTAGGATCACAGAACGTTCTAAATCATTCTCCGTCCCTATCGATACTTTGACTTTTGTTTCGAAACTTGCATTTCTCCAAACTCAGTCAAAGTGGGGGCTTCTGTAGACACCCGTTTGTGTCTCCCCAAAACCAAACCCAGTGATGAGTGCCTTTCGCGTCGAATCATAATCGAATGAAGTGAAAGTGTGGAAAGTCTAGTGTTGCGGATAGTTTTAATTTATTTTCTCTTAGCTCTCCTTTTAAAAACTTATTTTAAGAAATACAGTCAAGCCATTTTGGTTGGTCCATGATATGGGTCCAACAGTAGTGTAGTTGGATAGGGCTTGACAAGAGCTTTCCAACGATATATTATAAGCCCAATTCCGATGAATATTGAGGAAGTTATGGCCAATTTACTGAACTGGGCCCAGTTTGAGCTTTATATGCGGCCCAATGATCTAGGGGAGGGCCTAATATAGATTTATCATTCCTAATGAAATTAGGAATGGTTTTATTCTTCTAGATTCTTTTAGAAGGTTCTTTTCATTCCTAATTCAATTAGCATTGATAAATTGACTTTTTTTTACTTTTCAGAGTTTTAATTAAAATCAAAGAACGTTTTTTGAGGAAGATACGATTTTATCCTCCTGTACGACAATTTTTATCTGATTTTGATAAAACGCGTGAATTTCTGAATCAGCGCCAAACGCCAGCTGTAGCGCCTGGCGCTACGCTTAGCGCTAATGTTGGCGTCTGGCGCCAATAGCCAGCGTTGGCGCTAATCAGGTTTTATGTGCGCCAGAACTCTGTTTTGATATTTTATCTTTTTGGCTGATTTTCTCTATAAATAACGTCGTAAAAACTCCGTTTTGATCATCAATTCTCATCAATTCGAATTCTCATCAACAATCATCAATTTCCAATAACCAATTTTTCATTCATCTACAATCTACCAACTCTCATCAAGATTTTCTTGATTACTCTCTCTCTCTTTTTCTAAACTAGCCTTTTGACATATAAAATTCCGCATTCATTAGATTTAGATACACCTAGCCATATTCGAAGTTGCCTTCGCCCTAGACGTGAAAGGTTTAAATTTTGAGGGTTTGGTCCCAAATCTCTCTTTCCATTATTTAATTTAATTGTTTGAATATTAGTTTCCTTGAAGTTACTAACGTGTGTATTTTGTTGTTAAAAAGAGGTACGAGGCATCAAAGTAAGTGTTTTAACGGTTTTTATTGATATTATGATATAGAGTTCATGCTTAGGTTATTATTATGATTCCTAGTATCATGTCTAGGGTAACTTTAATATTAAGTATGATTGTTATGATGCCTTTTAATTTCTTCCTAATATTTATGATTGTTAGTATCATGTTAGGGTTAAAGCTTTGATTTGTATTGTTTAGTGACATGCTAGGGTTTGTTATTAATCTTGTTAGTATCATGCCTAGGATCTTGCTATTATTATGCTTTAACATGATTATGCTTATAATTATTATTATGATCATGATTATAATTATTATTATGATGATGATTTTATTATTGTTATAATTATTGTTATGATTATTATAATGTTGCTTGATATTTATTGTTATTGCTTGATCACGCCTTTTATGCATGTTTAAAGGGAATTTGTACTTGTAATCACGCTTAATAAGATAATTAATAATCTTGTTTAGGGTTAATATGATTATAATTCAAGTGATCACCAATAATAGATTTATTTGTGCATTAAATTCAACCAACATAGATAAACAGGTTTAGGGTTAATCTTAATGATTGTATGTTAATCAGAAAGCACACATGAATACGATCAGAATAAAGTAGAGGCCTATTATTAGGGCAGGTTCAATCTCTTTTAGGTTGGATTTGTACCTTCATCCCCGAACCCTATTTGGTTCAAGACCTTATGGAGTTAACGATCTCCTGGATCGTTAAGGGGTGTAACCTTCACCTCGTGAACGACTTACAAGTTCCTAAAAAACTTGTTGGCGACTCTTTTGCTCTATCTTCTTTCCCTTTGGACGCCACCGTACTTTAGTGTATGATCATAGTGGGGTTCAAGCTAGGGGATTAACGCTTGAAATATTCCCCACAACGGGGCATTTTGCTTAAAGGGTATGATAAGCTTAAACTCCAAGCATTTTCTAACAGTGATTGGGGAGCCTGCCCTGATTCTAGGAAGTGTATCACAGGGTATATTCTGCTATTAGTTGATTCTTCTATAAGCTGGAAGAGTAAGAAGCAACCAAAAACTTCTACCTCATCTTCAGAAGCTGAATATTGAGCCAGGGCATCAGCATCTTCAGAGGTTACATGGGCTGTCAAGTTATTGAATAGTTAGGAGCGTCTCATCTGAAGCCTTTCACCCATCACTGTGACAACTAGAGTGCCTTACACATTGCTCGAAATCTAGTATTTCATGAAAGGACAAAACATATTGAGATTGATTGTCATTTTACAAGAGACAAGGTGCTTGAAGGTCTCATTCAATTGCTATTTGCCTACAACAAATTAGATTGCTGATATTTTCATAAAAAAACCTTCCTTCAGATCATTTTACAAATTTGTTGTCCAAGCTTGGAATGGTTCAGACCACCCCAAGCTTGAGAAGGGGGGGTATTGAACATGTTGGCTTGCCAGCTAAGCTTAGTCAGTTATAACAAATTCTGTTATAACTTTGTACGGTCAGCTTAGGTGCATTTATTAGATTACATGGTTATAACTACCTCTAGTATAAATATGCCTTCAATTAGTTAGCTGTCTCATTCATTTTTGCTGTAATAACTCGGCATTCCAAAAGCTGAGAATTCTCTAGTATTTTCTCCTCCATTAATGGAGCTTGCTTAAGCTTTAAGCTACAAACTACTATTCTACTGTTGCGTTTTCTCATCTATGGAGAAATAAAGAAAGATAAAGTGAATAGAAAAAGAGTTCCTCTTTGGAACTAGAAGTGGTCCCTAACAGGAACATAAAGAGAAGTTCTCTAACAGGAGATGGACAGCAAGCTAAGAACACAAGATGGAACTACGTTGAAGACACTAAGTTTCATAAGAACTTGAAATTAGTTGAAAATAGCAGGAACTCAGTCTTGGTCTGCAAAGAGCACAAGCATTCAGACAATGCGAAGCTTGAGGAGGCAATTCAGTAATTAATTTGGAAGACTTTTAATAAGGTTTTGCTGATTTTATTTTTATTAGAACTGTTGTAAATATGTGGTTAATTGTCCATGAAATATCTATTAGAAACGTGACAAAGCTTGGCATGCTTGCTAAAAGATTTTAACCAAATAAATAGTTTTTAAGGATAATAACGGATACGAAGTTTGCTATTGAGGCCTTGTTCTCTTCACCTTAAAAAAAATAATATTAAGTAAAAATAATTTCAGTTCAGTAAATTAATTTCAGTTCAGTAAAAATAATTTCAGTTCAGTACAAATAAGTTCAGTTCAGTAAAATTCAGTTTTCTTAAAGAAGAATTATAATAGAAAATCAGTAAAAATAATTTCAGTTCAGCAAAAATACTTTTAGTTCAGTAAAATTAATTTATGTTCAGTAAATATAATTTAAGTTTAGCAAATGCAATTTTGTTTCAGTAAATATAATTTCATTTCAGCATACATAAGATGAAGAAAACAGGGCCTAAATCTTTTAAATTTTAAGATGCTTTATGGTTGATTGGTCTTTTTTTATTAACTACACATTGAGACGAGAGAAAGAAAAGGGCTAACTAAAAATTATTGGCATGGTTGGGGATACTTATAATTAGAATGAATAAATACAAAAAATCGATGATGAATATTGCTCTAATTTTTCTGTTTTTAAAGTTTCAAATTAAATTAATTTTTTAATAAAAATAATTCTCAAAATGGGATCCCTAAGTCGTCACTCAAGGTGCTTCTACTTCTTGTAGTCGGCGCTGGTTATATGGTTCATGGTTGAGTGGTTTTATTAATAAGAAGCCTATACTCGATCTGAAAGAGCAATTTTTTTTGTACAAATTTACAAAACCATGAAAATGTTATAGGGAGAACTTACAATCCGTTAGCGAGATCAATATTTGATTTTTAGAAAAAAAATTCACTTAAACAATTTTCTCGTAATTAACAATTACATCATTAATACAAATTAATTGTTGTACAATATTTCTTTTTTTTTTTTTGTTTGCAAAGAAAACCACAAGCACAAATGATATGATGTAAATGAGATTTCATCTCATGTCTGGATGAATACCACCACTTAATTAACATTTTAACCAACTAATTAGCTAGTTGATCATCCACTACAGTTTGTATTTTTCAACACATCATTAACGACCTTGTTTAAAGTATCATATTTTGAGGACCCATGTAGACATGTGGTTACTTTTGTTGCAATGTTTCTCCACTTTGTAGCCCTCATCCCCATCTCTTTACCATATTTAGTCTCCATCAACTCTTTCACCACCCTTTGGACACCATCTCTTTTAACTTCTTCGCTTATCTTCATACCAATGCCAAGACTATTACAACAATGCCAAGAATTAATCGATTGGTCAGCACCCAACGGCAAACAAATCATTGGAACTCCATAACTTATGTTCTCGATTGTTGAATTCCAGCCACAATGCGTCAAGAACCCTCCTATAGAACGATGCGCCAATACTTGTTCTTGGTCACACCAATCAATTAGCATGCCCCTACCCTTTATCTCTTCCTTGAATTGATTGAAATCCAGAGTAGTATGATCTTCAATTATTTGACTTGATCTTACAATCCACAAGAAATTTGCAAGGCTATTTGCAAGCCCCCATGCAACTTCGATAAATGTTTCTTGGTCGACTTCCAAAAGGGAACCAAAACTTACATATAGAACCGATTCAGGCTTTTGAGAATCAAGCCATTTCATATAATCAACATTAATTGAATCTTCTTGATCACATATAACAGTTGATTTAATATTAATCGTGTCATTCTTTGACACATGGTAATCTACCATCAAATTAAGGGGTCCAATTGGATAAATGGTAGGAGATATGGTGGAGAGCTCCTCTAGGACATCTTGTTCCAAGGCATCAAATGTGTTTATGAGGATTGCTCGACAATCGAGAGCTATTTGTGCATTTAACATAACAATATTTAGCATCATATCATTTGGATCTGTTGTTCTAATAAAAGTTGGCATGTCTTTTAAGGATATGCCCTTCAAACTTGGTATCCAATCGATTGATTTGTCAAGATAGCCATTTGTCAAGCAACTTTTCTCTGAAAATATATACACAAAAGAAAAAAAAATATATATAAAAACTTTTAAATCTTTACTATATATATTTATCATCAAAATCTAAGATTATCAACTTGGAAGTGATACCTAAAGAATCTTGATGAGGATAAAATTTATGTTACTTAGTAGTTCCGTTTCAATCTCTTAAGTTTCACAAAGTAATATGTTAGTAAAAAAATCCTACATTTTTAGTGAAAAAATGTGACCATTCATCAAAAGAAATGTTTTGTTCCTTTGAAAGAGACTCCATATAAACCAATTCTCTTTCAAGGACACAAGAGTGATCGATCAATCACATCAAATATAATGGACATTTTTTTTTTGTGAACACCCCCCCCCAAAAAAAAAGTTCAAATATAATGAACCTTATCTAAATTTATCGGAAATTCTTGAATTGATACATACATAAGTTTCCCTTAAAAATAGATTGATAACACAAAATAATTTGATTTATCAAATAAGTAGTTGTGTATACAATATCCTATGAGTATGTATATATTGCATCAATTAAATTAAATTAGGTCATTAAATTAAGACAATATTTTGCAAAATATAAAAATATAAAAAATTAAAAAAAATAAAAATAAAAATAAAAAAAGTAATGAAGATGATACTACCTTGGAGGGGTATGATGCCCTTGTCAAGAAGCTGACGACAATGGAAATTAGCCAGAAGGCTACATGCACTAGCAGTCTCAAGGAGAACAGCAGGAATCCCCAATTCTTCAGCCACTTTAAGCGTAAAAGAAGACATAGCAACATCACTAATCATACAACTAACACGCAGTCGCGAACCATTATTGTCATTGCCAAGTTTTGTCACTAGAAGGTCCTTAAGCGGGAGCTCTAGCTTGTTAATAACAATACAGTTGACGACAGAAAAAAGGTCTATTAGGTTGTCATCTTCCGGTAAGGACTCAAATCTAAAGAAGGGATGAGTGTTATTACCGGACGATGAATGATGATTTTTGAATAAAGTTTGGTGGATGTGGTGCGTGTTTATAAAAGTTACGTTAAAATCGAATTTAAAATGGAGGAGTTGAGCAAGTTTTAGCATAGGCCTTATGTGACCTTGTGCTGGAAATGGTATGCAAACAACATAATTTTCCATTATTGCTTTACTATAGACTATAGTTGGAGTATATATGATCTATTTGATTAATTTTGTAGTGGTGATTGCAATTTTGTCAGAGGAAGAAGAGAAATGAGATGCGAGATTAGCAGATTTAAACTACCACGTATTATAATTTTTTTGTTACATTTTAATTTTATTTTTTTTATTTTTTTTGAGGGTGTTACATTTTAATTTAATTATACTTTTTACTTTTGTTTTTAATTGGTTCGTTTTGGCTTTGTCAGTTTGTCACTATTCACAAACGAATTATTCTTTTTTATCATTTGGCTTTGTCAGTTTGTCACTATTCCACTACAAGATATTATATCAAAGAGGGCAATTTAAATCGTCATTTTAGGTTCAAATTTTGCCCTATTAGGCAAAGAGGGCGATTCAAAAATTACCCCCAAGTCGCCCTATTAGCCTCGTCCTATTAGCTTCAAAGGGCATACAAATTTTTCACCCTCTTTGATCAAAATCAAATAGGGCAAAATTTTCGCCCTCTTTGATTGAATCAATCAAGACAAAAAGTTTTTTGCCCTGTGTAATCAACTCAAACAAGTCAATTCATATTGCCCTCCTTGCTCAGAATTCGCCCTGTTTGTGTTGAATAATTTTGAGAATTTAGACAAGTCCATGTTAATTAATTATATTACTTAGGCAAAGGTGTTGTAATTTAATTAATAAAGAATATTAAAGCAATTAATCTTGGTTAAAGATTGATAAAGGAGAACTCAAACACTTTGATAGAAAACCTCTGTTTTAGAGGGGAAGGAATGTTGCATGCCCCTGTACGCTGCCTCTGTACACTGCCCGGTCAGCCGCCCGGTCAGGGTGGTGCTCGCCCGACCGGGCGCAAGGGTGATCAGAATATCATCTTCTACGCCGCCCGATCGGGCAACCACCGCCAGATCGGGCGCGAAAAGGGAACAAAACTGAAGGAAATTGAAATCTGGAATTTTGGATTCACCGCCCGATCGAGCAACCACCGCCCGATCGGGCCCGAGAGGTGGCAGAAATTGACACTCATAATCGCCCGCTCGGGCGGTGGCCTGCCCGATCAGGCGCGTGGTGTTTAGTTTGAAAGCTGGCAGTTTTGTCAGTTTTTGTACGATTTCGGTAGTTTCTCTTCGTGACTTTTGGTGAAAGTTGGTACTTTAATATATATATATATATATATATATATATATATATATATATATATATATATATATATATATATATATATATATATATATATATATATATATATATATATGTTCTGGGAACATATGTTGAAGATAGATTGAGAAAAATATTCAGATTTTATTTTTCTTGAAAACCTTTTGCAATTTTCTAATTATCGTCATCATAATTACACAAGCTTTTATACATTGAATTGTAATCATCCTACTTGTGATTACAATTGTTCTTCGTTGTATCTCCTAAGTAAATTTCCGTGAAACCCGGTTGTAGTATAGGGTCGGAATTATACTTTTGGAAAAGTGATTCCGTTCACGCCTCGAAGATTTTCCGGTTTAATTTGTTTGCTATTTTTGTGACCCTTGTTTAAACACAAATTTCCCTAACAATCCAAAAGTATAAACAACAAAGATGGAAAATGTTAAGGAATTGATGGCCAACATTCAAAAGTTGGACAAATTCGAGGGTGTTGATTTCCAAAGGTGGCAGAGGAAGATGCATTTCTTCTTGACTACAGTTGGGGTGGCTTATGTTCTTGCTACTCCGAAACCCGTGGAGAAGGAGGAGGAAACTTTGGATGAAGGAAGGAAACGCAACAAGTGGGAGAATGACAATTATATTTGTTGTGGCCATATATACTCAATGGTATGTCTGATGAACTTTTTGATATCTATCAGTTTAATGATTCTGCTAAGTCTCTATGGGATGATTTAGAGGCTAAATATATGGCTGAAGATGCTTCTAGCAAGAAGTTTCTTGTTAGTAAATTTAATAATTATAAGATTATTGATAGTAGACCAATTATTGAACAATTTCATGAGATACAAAGCGTATTAAGGAGTCTTAGACAGCATAACATAGTTCTTGACGAGACCTTTGTAGTGTCATCTATAATAGACAAATTACCTTTTTCTTGGAAAGATTTTAAAAGTGGTTTAAAACATAGGAAGGATGATGTTAATCTTGAGAGTTTGGCTTCTCACATCCGGATTGAGGAAGAAATCCGGGTGCAAGAGGGAAATAAGGATGCAAATCCTAGTTATACTACGGTAAATGTAGTGGAGGATGCCAAACAAAATGTGAGAAAAAGGGGTAATGACTCAAACAAAAATAAACGCATGAAGCCTAAGTTAAGCGGTGATGGTTCAAAGTCACGTGCTTGTTGGGTTTGTGGAAAACCCGGTCACTTCAAGAAAGATTGCACAATCTGGAAGAAAAGGATGAGCAAGAAGAAGGCTCAAGATGGGAATGGCAATGCTAGCCAATCCCAAGACAAACAAGGTAAATCTTGTGCACAAATTTCATTTAATTCATTTATGAATTATATGTGTATGATTTCTGAAATCAATCGTGTACAGGCTGATTGTTCGTGGTATGTCGATTCGGGAGCATCGAGGCACGTGTGCAAGGATAGATCATTATTCAAGACCTTCTTGGAGGTTGATAATGGAGAAATTCTCTATATGGGCAATGACTCTACAGCTAAGGTGTTTGGTAAAGGACAAGTGGAGCTAGTCTTTAGTTCGGGAAAATCTCTTATTTTAAGAGATGTGTTGTATTCTCCTGAACTTAGGAGAAATCTTGTATCTGGTGCAATCTTGAATCGATTAGGTTTTAAGATGGTGTTTGAGTCAGATAAATTTATTTTGTCTAAAGGAGGCCAATTTGTAGGACTTGGTTATTTGTGTAATGGTATGTTTAAGTTAAGTATTTCAAATACTTTGAATGATGTTGTGTATGTTGTTAATGATAATTCTTCTCTATGGCATTTGCGACTTGGTCATGTCAATTATAAAAAGTTGTATTTTATGTCAAAGCATGATATGATACTTGTGTTTGATCCAAGAATAGAGAAGTGTAAGACATGCATGTTAACCAAAATCACAAGGAAACCATTTCCTAATGTTGTTGAGAAAAATAATTCATTGCTTGATTTAGTGCATAGTGATTTGTGTGATTTTCACAACACACCTTCTTTAGGGAATAAGAAATATTTGGTAACTTTTATTGATGATTATTCAAGGTTTTGTTACATTTATTTGTTATTTTCTAAAGATGAAGCCCTTGATAAATTTAAAATCTACAAAAGTGAAGTAGAATTGCAAACCAATGAAAAGATTAAAAAGTTAAGAACCGATAAAGGAGGTGAATACTATGTGTAGACACCCATTTGTGTCTCCCCAAAACCAAACCCAGTGATGAGTACCTTTCACGTCGAATCATAATCGAATGAAACGAAAGTGTGGAAAGGTCTAGTGTTGCGGAAAGTTTTTATTTCTTTTCCCTTCTCTCTGTTTTTGAAAACTTATTTTAAGAAAACAGTCAATCCAGTTTGGTTGGTCCATGATATGGGTCCAATAGTAGTGTAGTTGGATGGGACTTGCAAAGACCTTTCCAACGATATATTATAAGCCCAATTCCGATGAATATTGAGGAAGTTATGGCCAATTTACCAAACTGGGCCCGGTTTGAGCTTTATGTACGGCCCAATGATCTAGGGGAGGGCCTAATATGATTTATCATTCCTAATCCAATTAGCATTGATAAATTGACTTTTTTTTACTTTTCAGAGTTTTAATCAAAATCAAATAGCATTTTTGAGGAAATTATATTATTTTATCCTCCAGTACGGTAAACTTATCGGATTTTCGAAAACGCGTTGGTATCAGGCCTGGCGCCTGGCGCTAGTGGTGGTGCCTGGCGCCAGCTAGCCAGGGTTGGCGCCAGCTCTGTTTTCTGAGCGTCAGACTCTGTTTTGTCTAATTTATCTTTTTGGCTGATTTTCTCTATAAATATCGTATTAAAAACTCCGTTTTCATTCACCAATTCTCCTCATTCGCAAGTTTTCATCAACAATCATTAATTCTTTAGCATTCTCTAAATCATTCATCTCTCTTAAAACATTCAATTCTTTCTTCCTTTGTTTTCACATACAAAATTCCGCATTCACAAGATCTAGAAACACCTACCCTTATTCGAAGTTGCCTTCGCCCTAGACGTAAAAGGTTTAATTTCTGATGGTTTGGTCCCAAATCTCTCTTTTAATTATTTAATTTAATTTTTTTGATTATTATTTTCCTTGAAGTTACTAACGTGTGTATTTTGTTATTAGAAAGAGGTACGAGGCATCAAAGTAAGTAATTAATTGATTAATTGATGTTATGATGTAGAAATCATGTTTACATTGTTATTATGATATTCCTAGTATCATGTCTAGGGTAATTTTAATATTAAATATGATTTTTATGATGCTTCCTATATTCTTCCTAATATTTATGATTGTTAGTATCATGTTAGGGCTAAATATTTGACTTTTATTGCTTAGTGACATGCTAGGGTTTGTTATTAATCTTGTTAGTATCATGCCTAGGATCTTGCTATTTTTATCATGCTTTAACATGAACATGATTATGATTATAATTGTTATAATTTATGACGATTATAAATATTATTATTATTATTATTTTGATGATGATTATTTTATTTATGATGATTATATTTTTATTATCATGATTATTATTGATTAATATTATGTTGCTTGATTATATTTTATTGCTTGATCACGCCTTTTATGCATGTTTAAAGGGAATTTGTACTTGTAATCACGCTTGATAAGATAATTAATAATCTTGTTAGGGTTAATTTGATTATAATTCAAGTGATCGCCAATAATAGATTTGTTTGTGCATTAAATTCAACCAATATAGATAAACAGGTTTAGGGTTAATCCTATTGATTGTATGTTAGTCAGAAAGCGCACATGAATACGATCAGAATAAAGTAGAGGTCTATTATTAGGGCAGGTTCAATCTCTTTTAGGTTGGATTTGTACCATCATTCCCGAACCCTTATTTGGTTCTAGACCTTATGGAGTTGACGATCTCTTGGATCGTTAAGGGGTGTAACCTTCACCTCGTGAACGGTTTACAAGTTCCTAAAAAACTTGTTGGCGACTCTTTTGCTCTATCTTCTTCCCTTTTGGACGCCACCGTACTTTAGTGTATGACCACAGTGGGGTTCAAGCTAGTGGGATTTAAGGCTTGAAATTATTCCCTACACTATGACCCAAGTTATTTCCAATCTTTAGGTTTAGTACATGAAACTACTGCGGCATATACACCACAACAAAATGGTGTAGTGGAAAGGAAGAATAGGACACTAGAAGAAATGGTAAATTCTATGTTGTCATATTCAGGTTTAAGTGATGGATTTTGGGGTGAAGCCGTTTTAACGGCTTTTTACGTGTTAAATCGTGTTCCCATGAAAGGGAAAGATGTAACCCCATATGAGCTATGGTATAAAAGGAAACCAAACTTGAGTCATCTCAAAGTTTGGGGTTGTAGGGCAATTGTAAAGTGCCGGAACCTAAACGTAAAAAATTAGGTGAAAGAGGAGTTGAATGCATTTTTATAGGATATACGGATCATAGCAAATCCTATAGGTTCTATGTAATAGAACAAAATGACTTTTGGTCGTTTCACACCACCATTGAGTCAAGGGATGCATTGTTTGATGAAAATCGATTTTCTTCAATTCCTAGACCAAAGGATATAACTCCAAATGTCAATGCTCAAAGTATTGATCAAATTGTCATTGATCAAGAGGTGGATGACCAAACTCATTTAGAGGAGGCATCTACATCATCATCACAACCTAGGAGAAGTAAGAGGGCAAGGAAAGAAAAATCTTTTGCCCCAAACTTTCATGTGTACTTAGTTGAAGGATCAAGGGAATCTGTTTCAACACAATTTCCATACATTTTTAATGTGTAAGATGATCCTTTGACCTATGATGAGGCTATGAGGTCTCGTGATGCTCCATTTTAGAAGGAAGCTATTAATGATGAGATGGAATCCGTCATGGGAAACAATACTTGGGTTTTAGCTACTTTACCACCAAAATGTAAACCAATTGGGTGCAAATGGATCTTCAAAAGGAAATTGAGGATTATTGGAACGGTTGAAAAGTTCAAAGCCCGGTTAGTGGCACAAGGTTTTACACAAAAACCTGGTATCGATTATTTCGATACATATGCACCTGTTTCTAGAATCTCAACTATAAGATTGTTGATAGGACTTGCGGCTATCCACAATCTTGTGATCCATCAAATGGATGTCAAGACAGCATTCTTGAATGGAAATCTAGAGGAAGAAGTTTACATGCAACAACCGGAAGGGTTTGTTGTGGAAGGACAGAAAGAAAAGGTTTGCAAGTTGATTAAATCACTACTACAAAAAAGGCCTTAGAGAACTGTTATAATAGGCTTTATAGATCGCCTTATAGGCGTTCTTCTGCTAAGCGATGTATAAAGTATAGAGAACAGGTTAATGAGGCGTTTTATATACTACTAAATAGAGAACGGTTGTTAGTCACAACCGTTCTCTTTTCACTTCTTAAAAACGTAAATTAAGGAAGGAAAAAGAACGGTTAGGCTACTTATATATTAACCGTTTTATATTGCATTACATTATAGAACGGTCAAGTTAGATAACAGTTCTCTAATGTTTTTTTTAAATAAAAAAAATCAAGCCATATATTACATTTTATTGCTACTGTATTATTCCTTTATTGTCCTGTATACCTGTATTATTTTTCATATTCCTGTATTTTTTTTGACAGAGATTATTCCTGTATTTTATCTCTTACATATATCCTGCAAGAAAAATTCCACAGTTCCAGTATAAAATAAATTATGATCCTGTATGTACAATATAAATTTCAATATAATAAAATTAACCAAATATATTTCCAGATAAAACAAAACCATCAAAATATATTTCATATATATAATTTAAAATATCCAACCACAATTAAACTAAATCATTCACCCCGAAAATTTGTGCTATACAACAAATACGAGAGTTAAGAATCTACAATTGACGTCGTCATTTGGTTGATGGTATCCAATACCATATTGATCTACAATTCACATAAATCATTGACGTCGTCATTTGGTTGATGGTATCCAGTAACATACGAAATTCACCTTTCCCTAAGCTCATTGATCATTTGTTGAGAATATGCAGGAGGAACTTGCTTGAAATACTGCTAAACAATGTAAAATACATGCCTATTTGTTAATGTACAATAATTTGATCTTATTAAATATAACTAAGTATATCAAAATATAACATTTTAAACCGTAGTTTCAATTTGAGTACACAAGAAACCTCCATCATAGAATACATCCCATCCCAACAAAATATATAAATAGTCTAACATCATAATAAGCATACTAATCAATTCTAATTATGCCTGTATCTTTACAAAAAAATCTTCTATTAATGGCTTTACTTAGCCAACAACTATTTTTTCTAATCACCAAATTAAACAATTCTAATTCTGCTTTTAAGAGTAATAAGAAAAACCCCATACTTTTAAGCTAAGACAAACAAAGAGATCATCATTGAAATGTTCTGCTATTGCTATTGAGGCACCATCGTCATAATGTGCTGCTGTTTTTTATGGGCATGATGAATCTGCTTTTGTTGCATTTCTAACTTTTATAATATCAAGTAGCAGGGCTCAGAGAAAGATGTAAAATGCATAACAACATATACCTTTATTAACCCATTTGCTCAAATTTATAAGTTGGTTTGCATACAACTTCATATAAAATTTGCAAGATGCATGTACATTAACTACTCAAGATACATTCAAACTAAATGTCGTACCTTGTCGGGGATGATCATTTGCCTTTATTTAATTGTCTCAATCATGTAGCGACAAACGTAATATCCACTACCACTGCAACTAGGTTTGTAATAGGTCAAGCATGAAATGTATAGGTCAGGTATAAAACCTGATGTAGTCAATTTCATTACAGTATTATCTGCATTCAGCTATGCTGGGTTGGTTGATGAAGGATATGAGACCTTGTAGATAAAGTCAGAAAAGAGATGCAAGAGAGAGGTGAGATGAAGAAAGTTGGATGCAATGGTTATTTAAACTATTTTGTGTCTAAATATGTGAAGCATAAGTATGTGTATGAGATGCTAGCAAAGTTAGCTGGAAAATGTTTATTTCAGTTTTCAGTTTGTAAAACAGAGAAAGAATTAAAATTTAGTTGCCTCAATATCCTCCAAAGCTAATGGTAAATAAACTTAAAATTTCCAGCCCTTGTGAAATGTTTTAGCCATCTAAATCTTAACCACTACAACTACTTATGATTCCCTTCTCTTCTCTCTTCACAATCAGAGACACAAATTCCAGAAAAACACTACACACTCCTTACTCATCATTATAAGCATAGTAATAACCATGATTTTTCTTATACATTACTAGAAACATATTTATCACAAGATCTCATAACCAACCCTTTTATGAAAGGAAAGCAAAGTGAAACAATATTTCTAAATATTTTGCAAAGTATTTGAAATTAATAGAGCACAATAATCCAGTGGTAATCAATTTCTCCCTACCCCTTTTTCTTTATCTGATTAGGGTTCTAACTTTAACTTAGGTATGATAAATTTGGCTAAAATAATTTTGATTACTACTGAAATAAATTTAAATTTGACAAAATTAAGGGTAATTTGATTAATTTACTGCAATATGACTGAAATATTTGCATAAAAACAATCGACTGAATTTATCCCTAAAACTAGAACTTTGAAGTTTTTTTCAATTACCTAAAATTCGAGTTGCAATTTACTTTAATAGATGAAATCTACAAAGTTACTTCTATTTCCATCATAATTCGAATGATTCATGCAATAAGATTGACAAATTATCAAAATCCAATTTCTCTATGACAAGAAAAATTCGAACCTTTGTTTAAAAAAAAAAAAATCGAGCCTACCTCAATGGCTCAGCGAACAGGTGCGGTGCTGCAGACGTTGTGCGGCGGTGGAGCAATGGTGCGGCGGTGGAGCAGCGGTCCGGCGTTGGAACGAAACAGTAAGCGGCTGGCGGTTTTTTGAATACTGAAGGTCGACAGTGGAAGTTCCCCTTTTTGAAGTACTTTGTTGTTTTTCAAGGTATTCTTTTGAAAGTGATGAACGCATGCTTCAATTTGGGTAAATGGTAGTACATTATTACTCATATATAATTTCTTTTTTCTTAAGGAGTACTCCGTATATAATTTCCTCCTAATTTAAAGAAAAAAAAAACATCCACGGTGGCTGGAAAGGAAAGAATAACGACAATCCTTCTTCTTCCGAAAACGCCCACTTCAGTAATTATGTTAGTAATAATGTTAGTACCTTCGACCACAATGATGTCTTAGCCATGGACAATCAAGGATCTAAAAAGAAACCCAGGCGAGTGTTTACACCCATTGGAATGACCTACGATGCTGCTTTCGATCGTCTCTATGATCGAGGATTAATCAAACCTATTGGCCCTACCGAGGATCCAACACCAGAAAATCGATCTTCGAGATGGAATCCAAACTCCTATTGCAAGTACCATCGAAGGCGCGGTCATACTACTGATGAATGCTATAGGTTTCAAAACCTCATTCAAGATCTCATAGAGGCAAATAAGATCCCATTGCCTCTAGCCAGCGAGAAGACTGGATGATGTCGGAGCAAACAACACAAGACAGAGGCGAGCTTCAACGACAAGATTTCATCACCTCTTTTTCTATTTCTTTTTCATTTTTTTACTTTCCCCTATAAGTCTAGCATAGGCACCTTTTTCTTTTCCTTTAGATTAATTTTATAGTTTTTTCCTTTTCCCCTTTTTAATAAAATGAGCATTTATTTCCTTGCATATGATCATTGCATTGCACAAAAAAAAAAAAAAAAAAAAAAAAAAGAAATCCATGTCGAATTAAGCACAAGGTATACCAATGATTTAAGGCACCCCTTGTAGCCACATCATATCTCCTTTCACCCTTCTTACAATCCTTTCTTCATAAACCGCTTTGAGCCTCGTCTAACTATAGACCCTTTCTTTCTTCAACCTATATCTACCTAACCTTGGGATGGGATGGTGTGTAACTTATGCAATTCTAAAGAAAGCTTGAGCAAATTCAAAAGATTAAAATAGCAAAAAAATAAATAAAAGTGTATAAAAGAGCAAGTGTTCCAATGTCTTTGATATGAAAATATCTTCGATAAGAACACGTCTCAGATTGCGTCTCTTATCGAGTGCTCGGTACCGTGCCTGAGAAACATGAATGCCAAGTGAGTGACAGACCGCATGATCAGGATTTCTCACACTTATAAAAATAAAGTAGATGCTAAAGCAAAAGATAAAAGAGAGCAAAAAAAAGAGTAGAAACTCAAGCATAAAAATATAAAGATTCAAAAGCGAGGTTGCACACCTTGGGGGCTTATCTAGGGTCTTGAGCCTTTTTATCCCGTTCTTCTTCATTCTTTAGCCTAACCACGTTACAACCCTTAAAAAGACCTTTTTGAGGTATACACATACTTGTGCGAGGTTCAGCTAGAGCTACGTTCGGGCTGATTCCTAACGGATACGTAGGCAACCTCACATTGAGGTGCGGCCGTAATAAAAATGCATTCATATTCACATTCACACACTTGCACCATGATCATATCAAGGGATATCCAATGCTCATCCCTATTCACTTAGAGCTAGACTTGGGGGCTTGATCCCTACATCATTAGCTTACCTAGCCTAAGAGTCACCACCATTTGACTCTTTCAACAAATAATATCTTTCCACACACTTAGCTCTTGTAGCTTAGCTTTAGTGTCACTATCACACACATCACAGATACATGACCAAATATACTTCCCTTAGGAACCCTTTGTCATGAAATCTTAACACAACATTGAAGCATGCCATGTCATATCAACATCACTCATCAATCATAATCATCATTGCATCACGAAGTATGAAGTGCTTAGCCTCCGTGCCAAAGTTACCCAAATACTGTCATCATTGAGTCAACCATTGAGATAGCCTAGGATGGATTAATCCTTGCACCTTGAGAGATAGTATCAAATGACATTTGACTAAGCTCATTCAACATGCATTCGAAAACTTCGCTTCTTCTTTTTCACGTCTTTCTTTTTCGGGAGAAAGTCGGTACCCTCCACAAAAATGACAGAATATTTTTGCTTTTTTGCTTTTTTGCATTTTCGAGTCGCACGAGTCATGTTCACATTGAGTCATGTCGTGTCATATCACTTTGATTTGAGTCTAACACGTGTCATTTCACTTCGAGTCGAGTCAACCTCGAGTCAATCATATCGAGTCAAGTTTATACCTTGAGTCGTGTCAAGTCGATGAGTCAAGCAATGTTAAGCCTTAGGTCAACCCTAAGATGGCTAAAGAGATTGGCAAAGTTCTATAGTCAAAAATAAATATAGGTGCAACAGAACAGGGAAGACCCTATCACAGCATTCGGCGACAGAGTCAATTATTGGCGCCAGAGATATCTCAGCAGCGACAGAACTCGAAGCCTCTCAGAAAGGTGATTTCGACCTCATACAGCGATTTTGGGTTCCTTGGTAAGCCAGTTAGCCCCTACAAGCAATTTGACATGATTAAGTAGTCATTTTGATTACAATCGCAATAAGTGATTGACCTGATGAAAGATCGTCTCACTTAGCTTAAGCGCCTAAGTATTGGCTCATTACAAGCACCAAAGCATCGGTTCAAAAGCAAGCACTTAAACGACAATATTTCCAAATATGGGTTGTCGCGCATTCTTATTAAACGACAATATTTCCAAAAATTGGATTGTCATCCCGTGCATCTTCTTCAACGACGATTTTTTCCAAGATTGGATTGTCATCTCTGGCAAAGTTTCCAAGCGTGGATTGTCGTGCTCCTTCTTTATTGGCAAGTTTTTCCAATTTCAGATTGTCATACATTCATGGATCTTTGGCAAGTTTTCCGAGATTGGATTGTCATACACCTATTCCCTATGGCAAAATTTCCCAAAGGATTGTTGTAGGTCTCTATTCATCATAAATTTCGGGAAAGTTCCTCAACGTGGATTGTCTTCAGCAAGTGGAAAATTTTCCCGAAGAGGATTGTCGGTCGACTCTTTTTTACAAATGTTCCAAGACGCGGATTGTCAATTGTGGCAATATTTTCCCAAAAGGATTGTCGCATAGCGTTGGCAAATTTCCAAGATGGATTGCTTTCAAGAGTTATATTCCAAGATGTGGATTGTCGATCGTAGCAAAGTTCTTATGAAAGATTGTTACAAAGCATTGGCAACTTTTCCAAAGATTAGATTTTGGCAAATTTTCCGAGATATGGATTGTCGCTTCATCGTGGCAACATTTCCAAGGATGGATTGTTACGTGCCATTGACAAATTTCCCTAAATCGGATTGTCATACATCATACAAGAGTTGTGTTGGCAACTATTCCCAAAGAAAAAAGGATTGTCATCACAGCAAAAGAACCGACATACTGGTTCACAAGCAGCAAAGCGCCGACGTACTGGCATAGCAAATATTAAAAAGCAGTGATCTTTTCGAAGACTATCACAGCAGGAAAAAGAAGCTCTTTGTTCAGAACATTGAAACAGCAAGGTGGCATTCCCTAGATTGTGGAGAGTTGTCACAAACAACTGAGGATTGTTTCAAGAGAAGCAATCTTCGATAGTATTCCCTTGGATGTGGAATATTATCATAGCGGAGGAGGATCGTTTCAAGCAAAGCAATCTTCTATATTGGAAGCAGTTACAGGCGTAGCGGTTTTCAAGCGGGATGAAATTCTCTAGCTTGCAGGAGGTCATCAAAACAACAAGGATACAGTAAAGCGACATCAATCGGTTACTTTCAGAGACGTGTGCTCGACGGTGCAAGATACGCGTTTCTTAACTCTTTTATCTGTTTAACTAATGCTAGTTTTGCAGGTATCGGCGTTACAAGATTGGTTTAGGATCGCAGAACGTTCTGAATCATTCTCCGTCCCTATCGCTACTTTGACTTTCGTTTTCGAAACTTGCGTTTCTCCAAACTCAGTCAAAGTGGGGGCTTCTGTAGACACCCATTTGTGTCTCCCCAAAACCAAACCCAGTGATGAGTACCTTTCACGTCGAATCATAATCGAATGAAACGAAAGTGTGGAAAGGTCTAGTGTTGCGGAAAGTTTTAATCTCTTTTCTCTTCTCTCTGTTTTTGAAAACTTATTTTAAGAAAACATCCAATCCATTTTGGTTGGTCCATGATATGGGTCCAATAGTAGTGTAGTTGGATGGGTCTTGCAAAGACCTTTCCAACGATATATTATAAGCCCAATTCCGATGAATATTGAGGAAGTTATGGCCAACTTACCAAGCTAGGCCCGATTTGAGCTTTATGTACGGCCCAAAGATCTAGGGGAGGGCCTAATATGATTTATCATTTCTAATGCAATTAGGAATGGTTTTAGTCTTCTAGAATCTTCTAGAAGGTTCTTTTCATTCCTAATTCAATTAGCATTGATAAATTGACTTTTGTGTTGACTTTTCAGAGTTTTAATCAAAATCAAATAGCATTTTGAGGAAATTATATTATTTTATCCTCCTGTACGGTAAACTTATCGGATTTTCAAAAACGCGTTGGAATCAGGCTTGGCTCCTAACCCCAAGCCTTGGCGCCTGGAACCAGGCCTGGCGCTAGTGTTGGTGCCTGGCGCCAGTTAGTCAGGGTTGGCGCCAGCTCTGTTTTCTGAGCGTCAAGCTCTGTTTTGTTAATTTATCTTTTTTGGCTGATTTTCTCTATTAATATCGTATTAAAAACTCCGTTTTGATTCACCAATTCTCACGAATTCTCATCTACAATCAGTTTTCATTAATTCTCTCTAATTCATTCATCTCTTTCTTTCATTCTTTCTTACTTTGTTTTTTTCATACAAAATTCTGCATTCACAAGATCTAGAAACACCTAGCCATATTCGAAGTTGCTTTCGCCCTAGACGTGAAAGGTTTTAATTTCTGAGGGTACGAGGCATCAAAGTAAGTACTTTAATGGTTTTTATTGATGTTATGATGTAGAAATCATGTTTATATTGTTATTATGATATTCCTAGTATCATGTCTAGGGTATTTTTAATATTAAATATGATTCCTGCGATGCTTCCTATGTTCTTCCTAATATTTATGATTGTTAGCATCATGTTAGGATTAAAGATTTGATTTTTATTGCTTAGTGAC